CCCCAAAACCCCAAAACCCCAAAACCCCAAAACCCCAAAACCCCAAAACCCCTGATGGTTAAAGGGCTATTGACATTGAAAAATTTGATTAATATATAAGCAATGTGCTTAGCAAGTGTATTTGGTAGAAATTTATGGAATTATTAGAACCAGATCTTTTTGGTGGTTTAACCAAAAACATTACAGCTGAAATGATATCAAAAGACAAGAAGAAGGATAAATATATTGATGACACTGATGCTCCAGTATCTAAGAGACATAAGGTTCATAAGAGTTTAGGATCAGAATATAAGTTAATAAAGAAAATTGGATCAGGTGCCTTTGGGGAGGTATTTGTGGTAAAAGATCGCCGTGACGACCAGTATTATGCATGCAAAGCTCAGAAAGTGGAGGAGTCAGGTGGAGCTACACTATTATTTCCTGAAGCTAAGTATTTGATCCGATGAGCAGGAGACTGAATTCCAAGAGTCAAAGATTACATCCAAGGTACTAACTATCATATCTTAATTATGGAATTGTTAGGACCAAACTTGGAAAATTTATTTTAAGTACTGAGAAAGGAAGTTCTCTCTCAAAACAATCTTAATGATAGCCATCCAAACTTTGATGCGAATAAATTATCTTCACAGTAAGTTGGTTATCCATAAAGACATTAAGCCTGAGAACTTTGTAGTGGGGTATGGCTCTAACGAAAAGAGGATCTATTTGGTCGACTTCGGGCTTGCTGGGGATTTCAGATCACCTAGAGATGGAAAGCACATAGAACTTCAGAAAAGAAAAAGTTTATGTGGTACAGCAAGATATGCATCCATAAATACCCACGAAGGGCATAATCAATCTAGAAGGGACGATCTAGAGTCTCTAGGTTATGTCCTGATTTACTTTTTGTTAGGCAAGCTTCCTTGGCAAGGCTTTGATACAAAGGAAAAGAAAGATAAATATAAGAAGATTGAAAAGTCAAAGAAGACTGCTAATCTAGAAAAGTTGCTAGAAAAATACCCCCAAGTATTCCTTAAATACTTAAACTATACGAAAAATCTAGGGTTTGAGGATAGGCCATGCACTAGAGACCTTATTAAACTGTTTCAAAAAGAAATGCACTTGAGAGAAATGGAAAATGACGGAAATTTCGACTGGGTTCTAAAAAGAGCAAAGCAAGTTCCTGGCAAGTATGTTTATAAAATTCATAAAGACGACAATAAAGACGAAGAAAATGCAAAAAGGAGAAAAGAGAAGTAGTCAATTTTGCCTTAAACTGTAATTATGAGTTTTCAATTTTATAAAACAACTAGGGGTTTTGGGGTTTTGGGGTTTTGGGGTTTTGGGGTTTTGGGGTTTTGGGG